TTACTCTAAAACAAGTAACAACACATTCTAAATGTAACTGAATTTGTTATTGAAGTATTGAATGTTTTGTTTTTCCAGTTTTGGCGACAAGGAAAGGGCGACTATTTCCAGGGCATAATGTTCATGGCTGAGCTCAGCACTCCGTCCGTCTGCTTAGGAAAAATACTCATCCAGGTGAGTCTTGATTTTGACACAAATTCAGATCATCATTGCATGTGCATGGCACTGACTAAAGGTCTTAATTTACACTTTTACTTCTCTTTTTTAATTAATTGGAGAGCGTATATTTCCGGTCATCCCCAGCATGCAGCTCGTTCATGCTGTCAGATGTTTACAAACAGACTGTTAAATGTCACTCTTTAATTGCTGACAGTGTGCTTGGATACACATTGTATGAATTGCAACACATCTGCATCTGTTCAGGTTTGTGTGTTTGCAATGTTTCAGTGTCTGTTTGGAGGTTAGCCCAGCGGAGGTATTAGACCCAAGCATTCAGCTTATGTTTAGGTGCTTTCGGACCATGTTGCTGTTTTTAATGTTTTGCAAAATCAATAAATGAGTGTCTTTTTTTTTCTTTTGTTTTTGCACTGCTGCACGTTTCGTTATTCTGAGTTTACAGAATTGCTTTTATTTTGTTTTAGTTTTCTGATTGAGAATCGATACTTTAATAAGCCATCCAATTCAATCAAATACTGAGATTGTTTTAGGCAAAACATTGTCAAGCTAAACAAATTTACACAAAAGTGTCAAAATTCGCACATAGCATAAATACAGAACCCTAAATAACCTATTTACACAGTTTATTAGCGATAAAGAAGTTGATTTGGAGGTTAATTACATTTTAAAAAGTACTCATCAAATGCAGAGATAGCTATTTAATCATATTTTAACATTTTAATTGATTAATGCTTCGTTTTATCAATACATTATGCTACAAACTGCCTTTTTAAGGACATTTAAGATCATAATATGGTTGGAAATGTTTTACAGAAATCAAGCAAAACTACAAACAGAAAACTTTACATCAAACAAAATCATAGAGTTAAAGTGCTAAAAATTACAGCCCAGTTATCATTTTTTTAAGAGGAAATATTAGGATTAATGTTATTAATGTCTTCCTCATTTGGGCTGTAAATGTTGTTTTCTGTTTCAACTTTTTGTATATTTATTTTACAAATGGACAAGAAAGACGAAGAACAGAAAAATCTGTCTGCAAGTTTCACAAAAATATTGATGGGAACCGTAAAAAACACAAATAATTTTTCTTTAATCTGCTAACAAAAGCAGATTACACAGTAGTTTAGGTCAATGTTAGTAAAACCTGCAGCAGCAGAACCACAGCGCCCCCTGGCAGTGCAAAATCAAATTGCAGAAAAAGATTTGGTATTAAAAGCTCCATGTTACATCTGGTGATTATTTTTATCACTAAACAACAAAACAGAGATTTTTGGTTTGAAAACACCTAAATTCAGCTAAAGTGAGAAAGTTATACAAACTAAAACGATCCACCTTCCTCCTGTAGAAACCAATCAGCTTCTGACCAGAAATATATGTCCTTGTGCTCTCCTGCCATCCCATAATCACTCTGAGCAAATAGAGTAAAACCTAACAGTGTTAGAATGATGGATATAACATTCAGATTATTAACCTTGTTGGCTTGTACCTCTTGCATTTCCTTTCTCCCTCTGTTTTTTTCCCACTCTCAGTACAAACAGCAACACACTCTGCTGCACAAAGTGAATGGGGCTCTTATGCTGGTCACTTTTTTCATCTTTCGAGTCCTACTCTTCCCTTACCTCTACTACGTCTATGGAAGGTATGTCTCTCTTTTTCCTTCTCCGTTCTGTCGTCTGAGCTGGCGGTCACCAACCTGCACAGCTGCCTGCTCTGAAATCGCAGTCAGAAGTTTACCGGGCTCATCATGGGCATGAAGGTCACCGATCTGGAGATTCTAATCATTTATTTAGACCAGCGTTTTTCAAGGTCATACAACCACGGGAGAGGATTAAGGCCACTGAAAACAATAAAAATTCTGACTTTTCATCTCAGAGTTTTGACATTTTTTCTCTGATTCTGACTTAAGAATAAAAAATATCACAATTTAATCTCCGAATTGTGATGTTTTTTCCCCCCCTCAGAATTATGACTTTTGGTCTCATAAGATTAAAGTCAGAATTTTGAGGGAAAATATTATATGTTAGGTTAATCAAAACAAGGAATATTAGAGAAAAGAATAATAATAATGATGCAAATCAGAAAATAACTGCCAAAATTAAAAAAATTAATAAAAATGTGTCCTAATCCAAACGGTTCCATTTTTGTTCTGTCATCACTTGTTTTTTTCTATTTGATTTTTGTCTTAAATGTATCCATTTTAATGCGTACTTATTTGTTTTTATTTTTAATTTTTAGTTTCTTATTTGTTCTCTTTATAAACCTTTAGAGTATTTTTGTTCATGGTCAACAACACTGCAAACCTAAAGTTTTTACCTCTATCAGAACTCTTCAGCGCCCTCTGGTGGCTTGGAGGCACAATACACAGCAGCGTCAAACTATAATCAGGGTTGAATTTGTGTTTTTTGTCAATCAGTGTGTGTTTTAGTCTGTAGTGTTTGTTTTGTGTGCACTAATTGATGAATGAATAATAAAGACTAAACATTAAAAGCCAAAACTCTTTCTGACCGTTCATGCCCTTGATGAGCTCATCTCAGGCTCTTCTGACCGCCTTTGGCATCTTAAAATAAAACAGAATGCTAACGTTCTGCTTCTGTCTCTCGTTGGGTTCAGGTACGCATCGATCCCCTTCCACATGGTTCCCCTGACGGTACCCTGGCACTGTAACGTCGGCGCCGCCCTGCTCATGGCGCCCCAGCTCTACTGGTTCTCCCTCATCTGCCGGGGCGCTCTGCGATTATTCACCGGCGCGTCGCGCTCCCAGCGGCCGCGCGCGCCCTCCGCCGACGCCAAGGAGCACCCGGCGGACGGCAACACTCTGCCGCAGCCCGCTAACGGCTACAGCGCTCGCTCCACAGAGCCAGAGCTGACCACCCACTGAGAGGAGGAGGCAGGAGGAGGAGGAGGAGGAGCAGCGGCGTGGGGGGGAGGAAGGCGAATGTACCAATGAGTATGTAAACAGAAAAGAGAGCAAAAAGTAAAACTTCTAAAATCACGCTGAAGTGTTTCAGAGCCAGCAAACGGCTAAAACGAAGCGGTGGCTGACCTTCAAGTACTTCAGCTTGGTAGTTTGTAGGAACCAAATGGAGCTTTAGGGCACCTTAGTATTTAAGATGTCATCAGGCACTGTGACGGATAGGAACATGCACTGACCCGGGAGGAACCTGCCTGGATATTTAGCAAGTGTAGGTGGCCATTTCCCCTCATGTAGATCAAATACAGTCCTCGCTGCCTCGCATTATAGGAAGAGCAGGAAAATAGGAATGTATTATATTGTATGTTAGTATGTTTGCTGTAGATGAAAGGCCTGATTCAGTTTAGTAACGAAGAAGACCTTCAAAAAATAACAAAAAAGGAAAAAAAAAACCCAGCTAAGCAGTATTTTGACTTGTTAGTGTTTATCTGTATCCTCTATGTAGTCACTGTCACTCTAACAAAATGTAACCAACCTGCAGACTGACTCGTCTTTAAAGGGAGATACGTCATTATACTGTATTCTGCTGCCTTACCCCCCCACACTCTTCCAGGTTCATCTGCGATTTTAGTTTAGTCTTTGAGACAGAAAACAGGCTTTCGTCAGACAGCAAAATGTGACGGTTGTACATAGCAGATGTAAAATGGTCTTTTCCATGTCAGTATTATGTGAAGAAGGAAAGGATTTGATTTAATTTAATTAATTTATTTATTTTTATTTGGCCGCATGTTAGCGCTGCTGTAGTGAGAAAAAATGGGATGGGAACTCTGCTCAGATAAAGATTAAAACTGATACATCAAGGAAGTCGTAACAGCTGGGAAATATTCATCTTTAATATGTCACTTAACAAGGAAACGGTAACTTTTAGTGTAATTCCTAAATTTACAAATTTACTGTTATTCCCAAAATACATCCTTCGAAAAAAGAAAAATTAGGAATGACTTGATAAAGTCTTCACTTTGAAAACTCTGAAGAAAGATTATGATTTAAAGACATTTCAAAGAAAACCATTGAACTGGAAACTTAACCAATTTAAAATGTCCAAAGATTTTGCTTCTATTTAAAATAATTTTCTTTTTCTTGGGGAAAAAATAATCTTGAGGAAAAATATTTATCTCTGGAATTTAAAGTGTTTTTAAAAGCACTTTGAAAATTAAATTAATTTTAGCTTAAAAAAAAACAACAACCTAAAACATCTTAACCTTAAAATATGAAAGCTTACAGTTAAAAAGAAGTTTTTTTCTGCATCCTTACAAAATATGGGAAGTTTGGATAAAAATTGTTGGAAGTTTTACAGCCATGAAATTTATTTGCAAAGAAAAGGGAGTAAACCTTTTTCATTATAGCAGCGGCGTCCATTTTTAGTCCTCGTTGCCCAGTGACCCACATATTTTTACGATTATCTGTTACGACTGTTGTAGATGGAAAAAAAAAAGGTTCATTTCTGCCAGAAAATTCTGAAATTTTGAGATTAATCTCAGAAATTTTCTAGAGAAATTAAAGAAATTTAATTTATCTAGTTAATAATAACTTATCTAGTTAATAAAGTTAATAATTTGCTAGAACAAACAAAAAATCTCCAAAAGTTGAAAAATTTCTGAGGAAAAACTTGGAATTTTGAGTTTCAAAATTCGAAAATGTTTTAACTTTTGAAACTCAAATAATTTTCAAAATTTGAACAATTCTGACTAATTCATCTAAAAATTTCTGGGGGGGGGGGGTTTGTCAGCAATATACTCCTTTTTTCTATTTACAATGGTCATAATGTTAAAACGTAATGCATCCTGATCTAAATGGTTTGAAGCTGCAGTGTAGTGTGCCTCCAAACCACCAGGGTGCCCCAAAGAGTGCTTGAATATAGATATCAAAACTTCAGATTTGCAGTGTTGTTGACCAAGAATGAATATGTTCTTAATGACTACTTTAAAATAGTTAGAAATGTCACCACTACCAATTTACTGTCATTACTTCCTTAAATGTCGAAAAGCGATAAAGGATAAATATTAGCGCCATGTATGAAAACATTAATTCAGTTGTTGAAACTCAGGATGTTAAATTAGTGCTGCCAGGTGGGTGACGAGCTCAGCTGGAACGGGGCCCCCAGAGTTCAGCTTTGGGCCCCGTTCAGTTTTTGTCCGGCTCTGTTAGATGCTCAGCATCAATTTATCACTTTCATCAGAAAAAATTATGTTTTTTACCTGTTTTATCCCAAAATCTGAGTAATATTCCTAATTCCCTGTTTAACTATAACAGGCCTAATATGTTCTCACATATTTTAGCACCTGATTACTATTGTTATTATTACACAGATTTATTTACAGCTTAGTGTGTGCAAACGTCCCAGAAAGGTTTTAGCTGTGCTTCTTGTTTCCGTGTAGTTTTAATGTCGTTCCATTCACTGGTGTCACATTTAAATCCCACTTTGCCACAAACAGATACACACTTCCTGCTTCTTCTTCTTTTTGTTTTTGTCTTTATAAGTTTGGTGCTGCTGTTGATCTTAAATTATCCGTTTGCTTGGCAGGACTATTTCACAAAGGGATTCACGAGATTTCAGTATTTTTAAATCTTAGTCAGGAGACTTTATGCGTGAAGGGAAACAAGAATGGAGAGTTACCTCGCAGGGACTGACACGCAGCACATCTGTCCTTATTTTCTTCTGTTTTTTTCGGGGTTGTTTTTCTTTTTTTTTTTTATCTTTTCAGACTTTGTGGAACGCCCCCCGATCATTGAGCCTCTGGTTCCATGAACCACCTATGAACAAACTGGCTTCTTTTTATCACTTTATGTTGCTGTAATGCAGCTACAGCGTCCTGGGAATTGGTTTTAAGAAAAAAAAGAAAAACATAAAAAAAAACACACAAATCAAAGCGTGTAACGATGGGGTGTGCCGAATCGCTGGGACACCTGTTGGCATGTCGAACACTGAGTATCCATTCCCCCCGTTCCGTGGATCCATAAAGGTACTGCTTCTTGACAATATTGGAACATTTCAACTGCTGTACTGTATATTCCACAAATGCTTGTTATTTATTTGTAAGTAATTATTTATTTATTTATTTATTTGGTTTGTGGATTTGAATGCATATTAATGCATACATATACTCTATGCTTCTGAGCCTTATGTGAAGGCTGTATTGTTACTCGAACTTAGCTAAAATATACTTCTTTCTGTCCTGAGCTTGTGTTGAGTCGTTTCTTCTTCTTTTGTTTTGGCACTTTTGGCATCCTGTAAGTCTCCCCTAAGCTGCAACTAATGATTGTTTGACTAATTTGTAAAAAAAAAAAAAAAAAAAAAAAAAAAAAAATTCTCAAAATTTTTCATTTAAATTTTTAAAAAAAATTTAAAAAAAAA